GAACGCAAACGTCGCGAAGAAGAACAACAGAAGAGTACAGTGGAGATGTTACAGAAGCGACAAGAGTACAAAGAGAAGACGAAGAACGCTCTCTTATTCGCCGACATGCCGACTGAGAACAAGTCGAAAGGTGGTCGCGGAAGGAGAAAGGATGAGTACGTGTCAGACTCACCTGGCAGTGGCAGTGAAGGACCAAGAGAAGACAAGTAAGTGCTTAAATTCATCCGAATATCAAGTTCTGTTATCCCTTAAAATTTTCAAAACACTTCTCTAAACAAATCTTAACTCTAGTTTGATATGATTAAAGTTTATTTTCAACTGTAGTATTACTTACCACGATTTCTCCTAAACATTTTTGTTCTTTTGCAGACGTGAGCAGAAACGTAAACGCAAACGTGAACCGGGTGAGCCCCGCAAGGGAGGTAAACGTAAGAATAGAAGAAATTCTGGCAGCGATAGTGATCGCGACCCACCCAAGAAGCGAGGCAGGAAGAAGGTCAGTTGAAAACTTAATAATTATTCACAGATACAAGTCATAGGTCATAGGTACAATCAACCTAATTTCATCTCTAGATTTCTAAATTATATACACTGTAAAACACAAATTCCATATCCTCGAATCTATAATCCCTAAAAGGCCGGCGATGCCCTGGAAACCGCTGGTGTTGCGGACATCCATAATAAAGTTTTGTTCATTTTCGATACTGAATAATATGAAAGGAAAATTTTAACTATGCTATCTCATACATAATACTAAATCATCTACTACTTACACACAGGGTGAAAAAGGCATCGGCAAACGTGAGAAGGCTAGAGCAGCAAAAGAAGCCGATAAATTGGGCGCGAAACAACGCGCGAAAATCGTTTCTAAAGAAACGATATCGACTTCCGAGTCGGAGTCGGACACTTCTCGCAAGTCCCGGAGTAGAAGTCGCAGCGGCAGTGGAAGTCGGAGCGGTGGAAGTCGCAGCCCTCCAGCCAACAAAGGAAGAAAACGGATTATGTCTGCGTCGGATAGCGACAGGTAATTTCTTTAAAGATTTTATTTATTTAGGTATTTTTTTTAAACTGACCCAGTGTTGGGTTAGAATAGTTGACTCAAGAATTGAATATTATTTCTGACAATTTAATTATGTGTGTAAAATTTTGTAAACTGATAACTAATGTTTGAAAATGACTATGCGGATAGTTTACATCAACCGCAGGCAAAGCTAGTTATTTATTTGAAAATTAAGTACATAATTATTTTTTAAATTAAAATCAAAATGACATTAGCTTCAAAAAGATTGACTTAATTTTAAAATAAGTTTAAACGCTTACTCTAATCGTAAAATCAAGGATATCTTTGCGAGTGCGAGTTACCAAGATTTTAGTCTAAATAGCGAATTTTTTTAGATCAAGGTCCAAGTCAAAATCTCGCAGTCGGTCAAGGTCGGGGTCCGCCAAAAGTCGTTCGAGGTCCAAAAGTAAATCACGTTCTAAAAGCCGTTCCAGATCTAAAGGCAGGTCTAGGTAAGCGTCTTCCGGGGTTTTAATTCATTAATTAGCATTTAATTATTTTTTGTTACCATAGTAACAAAGAATATAGTTCTAAGTTCTTATTTTAATTGATATATTCTAGGTCTAAGAGCGCATCCAGGTCTAAGAGCCGGTCAAGATCCAAAAGTAGGTCTCGTTCAAAGAGCCGTTCCAAGTCTAAAAGCGTTTCTAGGTCTAGATCAAGGTATAAACATTTGTTTTGTGTTATCGTCATAAACATTGCCATTTTTGTAAATTTACTAATTTTTATTAATATTAATGAATTATCATATTTAAGTGTGTCATTGCTTTTTAAATAAGTAAGATCTACTTTTTTTTTGGTGGTTATAAGAAGCTTGGTATTTAGGTTAAATAAAAGTATTTGTTTACGTTCTCAATGTGCTTATAATTTATAATAGTAGAGCATTTTTGTCCTAAAAATTTCAATTCTCTGTTGTACGTCAAACAATCTCTAACGTCTATTATTGTTTCACAGGTCAAAGAGCAGATCCCGTTCAAAATCGAAGAGCGTATCGAGGTCGAGATCCCGTTCAAGGTCAAAGAGTGGATCCCGAAGCAGGTCTGGCTCCCGAGCTGGATCCCGCGCATCCAGGTCTAGGTCACGATCTGGATCGAGGTCAAGATCAGGATCCAGAAATTCCCGACCAGACACACCAGTATCAAGGAAATCTGTCTCCGCAAGTGAAGATGAAGCTTAGGTTAAGTTGTAAATATTTTACTAGTCTTAGGGTTTTGTCTTTAGTTTTCTTTACCTGCAAGGTAAACTTATTTTTCAGTTATCTGTAAGTATATGTATGTACAAATAATGTACTTTCGTTGTTCTAGAGCTATTGGATAGGTTTTAGGAGAGACGCTTGATTTATTAGGAATGAGAGTTAAAATTGCATAAGTCGGTATGGTTCATATCAGATTGATGTATAGTCAATTGAAGGAGATTTGTTTAGTGATTGGCACTCGCATTTGGGTTGTTTACAGTTTGGAACTCACTATGCACGTTAACTAAGTTCCATAGGTCACTAAGGGACCACCAACAAGCAATAATTTTAATGTGCAAACTGATTGTGCTAAATTTTGTACAAACATTTTGCGCAACGCAAACATTGTACAGTATATTTTGTACGACATTTATTTACCATACGCTAGTTACAGTTTAGCCGCACAGCGTACTATGATGTAAATAATTTGCGCAAAGTAGATTGGTATTTGCGCAATACTGATTCAATAAGTGCAGTTACATTATATCGTTGTTCACGTTCAACTTTAAATATTGTCACATTAAAAGGGTTGGATTTTTTAACGGCATATGAATGTCTCGAGTGAGCAAATTCAAACTTGTGTTATTAAAAAGATATAATATTTACATAGCTTCCTGTCGAATGATATTTACACTACTTAGATAAATATTTTATACAATTACCGAACTTCCTAACGTAATCTTCCAATGTAATGAAATTGACTAATGTTTAAAAATGCTAGTTTAAATTTTTGTTAGCGCAGAACATCCGATTATTATTCGTAAAATAAAAATAATTGTAATACATGCTAGTGTTTAATTTCAACCAATTGAAGTGATATAATATTGTTCGCGGCATTTTATCTTATTGACATTTTTAGAAGTTACGATTTATATTATAGTAGTATACTATATTATAAATGGTCATTCATTGACATAAGAAAATTATTTACGACTGATTTTGCGTGAAAACTAAAATTTGTGGGCTACTGAATGTATTTCAAGTTTTATGGTGTTGTACTAAAGTTGCTTTTAGCACTTCAAATAAAAAGTGCTTGATTTATGATAGTCGTATGTTTGATTTATAGATAAAAAAGATTTTTGCATGTGATTATTAAATTATTCTGAGGCTCTGCGCTAACAACTTCATCTTTCTGTTACTCTTTTCTTAGACTATTTCTAGACTTCAAGTTATTATAGCTCTGTTCTTCTCAAAACTTGTACCTATTATGTTCTGATATTTTAAAGAACGATGATTGTAAACGAATAAAAACTATAAAATGTCACTTAATGTGTTTTTATCACAATTCCTTCGTCCGTCCGTATTATGATTATTTATGAGGGAGATGAGAATCAAATAAACAACAATAACCTAGTCATGCTAACATTTATGACGCTAGTCATAGATAATCAGCAACCTTAAAAATTAGACTTAAGGAACTTTCGGGTTTGCCGACGGCGAGTAATAGTAGCTCGCCGCCCGACCAGAGCCAGGCCTGTGCGTACGGCGCGTCGCGTTCTGTGCGAGCCTCAAAGAGCCAACAGACCACCACAGATGGCGCCCAATAGGGCTATTGCCCGATACGGAGCCGCGGAAGGCCTAACGGGTTTCCGGGGCTTCGGCTCGAAGTGCAGGCGTAGGAACGGGGTGTCTTATAGTCAGTAAGAGTCGGACACCCCCTCACACCTAACCCAAAGCAGGAGAAGTTAAAAAAAGGGTAAATTTATGCTAATGCATGGTTGACGCGCATCAAAGCATCTTTCCAAATCTGAACATAATGAATTCCGAAGAATGCGCGCGACCTTTACAATCTCAGAAGTAAAATGTGCGTTACCCTGTGGAGTTAAGGTTGAATTTATTATGTTCAGAACCTTAGTACGAGTTTGTTTTACGTTCAAAATAATCGTAACAGGTACGCGGTGTTATTTGGCCACTGGATTAACCAATCCAGTGGCCAAATAACACCGCGCGCATCAAGACCGTGCTCGTGAAGAATTCAGTATCACCATGACATGTTAAATACTTACAGGATACTAATGAAACTTCACATACATTTGAAGGCAGTTACAAGCTTTAAAATGACGTTTAAAGTAAGTCTTTAGCTCTTATTGGGAGTGCTGGGACCAATTGAAGCGTTTTTCTATTTAATGAAATAACTTTTAAGCCATGTATTATTTTGGCTTTTTTATTGCACAACAAATTTAAACTAATTCCTAAGAAGCCATGTACAAAATGTGATAAGAATCCGCTTAACCATTTCAAAGATATAGCAAAATCGTAAACGTTACCCCAACAAAATATCGAATAACTTCACAACCGATGAAAGAACAAATACAAAACAAGGCACACCATTTACTTCATCTAGAGACTACTAATTTTATAGCTAGTAATTATTTAAATATTCCCATTAGAAAGAAAAAGGTCTGGCTGGGGTAACGTTACCCCAGCAGGAAAATTGTGAAATAATTGAAAAACTATAAGCGCACAAATTTAAAAATGTGCGCAACAATTACAGAAGCCGACAACATCTGGCCTGGGTAGCGCACACCTTTAAACGTAAATCAAACTCTTACTAAAGCCTCTGTTTTGGAAAGACGCCTTGATGTACCTCAACTCTGCCCTAATTTACCCTTAGGATCGGGTTTTTGACGTTCCTGATCATCTATAACTCGGGGAAAAAAGGAAATACAACAATATCATGAAAACATTGTATATTTAAGTCCCAATTTAGAAGTACATATTAGTATATTTTAAATTATTCGCATTTAACATTCGAGAAAATCAATTTTATACATAGTTTAGTTATATTGTGTTTAGCGTTTAAATAACTTGCAACAATTTAATAAATAGCTTAAATATATTACAATTAACATAACACAACCATCATATTGGTGAAATAACCTTTCTTTAGAAACTCTTATAAAATAATAATATTAATGTTTTAATAATACTATACAAGTTGTATGTAGTTGAGACACTGAAAAGATTGATCAGTGATAATATTTTGCACAAAATTACAATGGTTGTAGTCCATTGACAAGTTACATTCAAATCGGATCCACATGTTTGCCTCAATACCACTCATCAAACATATGTATTTAGGAAGTAGTCGTTGGGTATATGCTATTATTTTTACAATCAATCTTTTCAGTTTCAAAACAAATTCTAAAAGAACGATTAGTCAATTCCAATTACAATCCCAATGTACTGATACATTTATCTAATTAATGGACTAAATTTTCACTATTAGAAATATTAATACTTACTCTTAATAATTGAGCGTTATAACGATACTAGAATTTGAGATAAAATAATATGAACAATGAAATATATTTTGCTAATAAATACTTAATATCGGAACGGAATTGTTTAACAATTTACAATTGGGATAATCTCAATGATAAATCGTTATAAGTCGCCAATACTCTGGCTTCATAATAATAACATTTATTTTTAAAACAATAAAGCTCAATCAGGAGTCATATTCTAATACAAAAATGAATGTTGGACTTGTGGCAATGTAACGAACTATCATACTCGTAATTCCGCGTTCAGCCTTCGCTAAATTTAATTTTTCTAAAACTTACAAAACTCGATAGGTACAATATCTCACAATTTATAGAAACTAGATTCCAAAATGTTATATAAAGAGTACTATTATTTTAATATTGAGGATATAAATTTGAGTCAAAATTCGAACAGGTGGCAGTTATCGTTACCTTCATTCAAATCGAGATAAATTGGTTATTGCTAGGTATATTAAAATGGAGCATAATATAGATAATACAAATTACTAAGACTATTTAACTTTAGTGTGCGCTAATATATTAGACTATACTATCAATGACTAGTAAATCTAGGTAGTTGGTGTTACTATAGCTAATATTCAGTGAGGTTAAATATTTATTTGATGGTTACATTTTTTAAATATTCTATAAATCTTCCAGTCCAATCATTAGCTCTTAAAATATTATATTTTTTTCTTACAGTATGCTGTTGTAAGTATAACTTGTTGGAATAATCTTTATCTGCTTTGTATCTATGGTGACTGTATTTATTTTGTTTTTTAGTGAACTTTCGTGGATTGTGGAGAGGTAAGGTTCAATTTATAATTTAATTTTAATAACGTTTACGACTTTTTTGAGTCCAATTTTCGCTTATCGTTTAATCGAAAACCATCATTATGTCGATTACTTAACAAGAACTCTTGCAAGCCACATAGCATCCAGAATGTGTATGGATCGTTCTAGAAGTTATAAAGTTATATGAGTTCAGCCATCTTTATGATATCAAAAAAAGGCGGACAGTCTTATGCCTACATGAGAATGACTAGTAAGATGACAGTGAAACCTTAGCACGATATTTAGACCTTACAAAAGTATTATAATACTTGGTGTGACATTTAATGCTAACATTTATGATTTATTTATGAAAAGATATCTGATAAAATGTGTAAACCAAACTTTCAAGTTCACAGTCAAAAACTCTTATTATTTGTAAAAATAAGCATTCTGCACAAAGAGTATAATTATTATGGGCAAAAGGTACAAATATGTCTAATTATTAAATTTCGTAAATATTTTTCTAGTTTAGAGCATAGCTGGAGATTCCCTTCACAAAAATGATTGTATTTTATCTGAGAAAAATATATATATTTTTTTTAAGATGGATTTTTTGTGCATGATTTTTTAAGCTCTGTAATATAACGTTTATTAGTATTATATTGAAAAACTGATAACTTCCTTTTCTGGAAGTCCGTAAAAATACAAGATTAGTAAACAACATTTCTAATTTGTTTTTACAAACTTTATTTTTTTTCTTTCATAGACAATTATCTTTCTTTTCTTTTTAAGTTAATAGCATACTGTCTCCAGCCTACCATTCTAAGTTTCCTACGACACAAACTTACATTAACAGGCCTCCTTTGAGTTCTGAGCGCCGTTGGTCTGTGCGAAGGTAACGGTGCCATTAGGAACTGTTTGCGGGCCTCCTAGGAAGGAAGTGAATGTCGTGTCTCTGCTCATTGGTGGCTCCAAACCTTCTATAGGTATACAGTCCAGGGTAGGGACTGTGTATTCCCTGTAAAATAAATATTAAAGAAATATAATCTACTGTTTATTTTGACTAAGTCATAGAAAGGTTGCAAGTGCGGGTGGGCATTTGGTCGGGCGTAATATTATCGAAATTAATAAATTCTGAGTAGAAGTAAAGATGTTTCTGGAATGATACCAAACATATGGCCATCAGCTTATGTTCTGGTACAAAGATATACTAACATAACTGGCAAAAAGTAAGGGAATAGGTGGTTTGTTCATTATCATTTTATTAACATAACATAACATCACGCCTTTTATCCCTGAAGGGATAGGCAGAGGTGCACCATTACGGCACTTAATGCCACTTTACAATGTAACACCTACTTTTCACTACTTTTGTTACGAGTCCCATTTAATAGGGGGTGAGCCTATTGCCATATACTGAGCTAATTCTTTGCCCAACCCAGGAGTCGAACCCGAGACCTCTTGCCCGGCAGTCGCACTTGCGACCACTCGGCCAACGAGGCAGGCAACGTTTTATTGTAAAGAACAAATTTATAAATAAACATATTACAGGTTACAGAACCCAGATGTTGGCGAAAGGAAGATGTAATGAAGATACAACTTAATTAAATTAATGATGACAATACAATAAAACTTACTGACTGACTTAAATAAATAAAAAACTTACATAGATACATTGTCCTGTGACTGTACTGAGTCGTTGACTAGTTGAGGCAGTCTGTCTGGCTGGGGCGGTGGCTGCCGCGTCGGTCGAGAGCTGAAGAGGAAGACACCAACCATCGCCAGCATGTATGATAAGAAATAGAGAGCGTGGAACTGAAATGTAACAGTCATAAGACATGATGAATGTATACGATTTTACTTACAGGTGTTTAAAATAAATGTCTAAATATTGTTTGTGTAGTTTTTTTTTGTGTTTATCGCCCTTTGTGAGGTGTGCGTCACCCAGGCCAGATGTTGTCGAAAATGGTCATTTGAATCTTATAGATAATTAGTTGTGCGGCTTCTGTAATTGTTGCGCACATTTTTAAATTTGTTGCGCTAATAGTTTTTTAATTATTGCACAAAAACATATCCTGCTGGGGCAACGTTACCCTAGCCAGACATTTTTCTTTTTAATGAGAATATTTAAATAATTACTAGCTATAAAATTAGTTATCTAGATGAAGTAAATGTTGTGCCTTATTTTGTATTTGTTCTATCATCGGTTGCGAAGTTATTCGAGATTTTGCTGGGGTAACGTTGTTGGTTTTGCAAGATCTTTGAAACAGTTAAGCGGATTCTTATCATATTTTGTACATGGCTTCTTAGGAAACGAAACGCACACGCACTCTACAAGATGAATTATGTTCCCATAGTACAGATATTATTATATTATTACTGTATTTAACAGTGTACGCGTCTGTACCGAAATTGTAAAGTGAATTGTACTAAACATTTCGAAAGATAGTATAATGTTCTGCGTTTTCGCTTTTTCGTAACCACCTAAACTTGGTCGAGTTACCACGGACATTCTCTTCCAAATGACTTTAATCGTGTAATCTCATTAATTATCCAATTTACTGAGCTGAAATTTTACTGATATACAACTAAACTAAACAATTAATTATTGACATAACATTCAGTTCATATATCTAATCCAGTGGCCAAATAACACCGCGTGTATCAAGACCGTGCTCGTGAAGAACTCAATATCATCATAACTTGTTCAATACTTACAGGATACTAATGAAACTTCGCATACATTTGAAGTCAGTTACAAGCTTTAAAATAACGTTTAAAGTAAGTCTTTAGAGCTCTTATTGAGAGTGCTGGGACCAATTTAAGTGTTTTTCTATTTAATGATATAACCTTTAAGCTATTTATTATTTTGTTTTTTTTATTGCACAACAAATTTGTACTAATTCCTAAGAAACCATGCACCAAATACGATAAGAATCCGGTGAACCATTTCAAAGATCTAGCAAAATCAAAAACATTACCCCAGCAAAATCTCGAATAACTTCGCAACCGAAGAAAGAACAAATACAAAACAAGGCAGAACATTTACTTCATCTAGACAACTAATTTTATAGATAGTAATTATTTAATATTCTCATTAGAAAGAAAAAGGTTTGGCTGGGGTAATGTTACCCCAGCAGAAAATGTTTTTGTGAAATTTATCTATAAGATTCAAATGACCATTTTCGACAACATCTGGCCTGGGTAACACACACCTTTGTGAGAACGTTACTAAGATTTATTGCTAAGGTAATGTTGGAGTTTTAAGTGTTATTTACATCCCAATTACTGAACTTAAATGCAAACAGTGTAGGCCAACATTTTTTTTAAACTGAAATGTTTTTTTTTAATGCTATAAACAACAATCATGATGAATTAAAGAATCCCTTATTTCTTATCCTGATATGCATGTGTGCTGCATGTACTGTACGTAAATGTATGCATACAGTCAGCATTGTTGCAAGCATTTTGTTAATACCAATTTTGAATATGTATAAAAGAATCTCACCTTAAATTGGAATATGTACATCCCAGCAATGAGAGTATAGTAATCCGCAGATAGGAATGACAAGTGCAGTATAATGGAACCAGCGTCTCTTAGCATAAAGCACTGTAATATCTGGAATATTGTCTGCACGGAGCAATAACTGCTAAGTTGAACTATAGTGTCCAAATCATACCAGTTAAATTCCATTAATTCTCCAAATTCTAGGAAAAATGTTTGGGTACAGGATACTATACTACCTACGAGGCCTAGGAATGCTAGGTAGTCGGAGCAAGATAGAGTATCTAGCATCATTTCTTGTAGTACTGTGACCATGGAGTAGAGCAGTGACCCTGCCAAGCAAAGCATGTCACCAACTAGCTGGTTTTTGCCTGGAAAAAAGACAAAGGTTTTACTACTAGAAATACTGAATGAAAAATGAACTTCATTTAAAAAGGTATAATACAAGTGATATGGGAATATTTTATAACTATGTTGTTGATTAACCTTTTGAGCGCCAATGTCACATATACGCGACAAGCGAAAACTGTCCCTGGACGTCAACGACACAAATACATGACAGAAAAAGCGGAACCAGAAACACGAATTATTGGAATCCCTATTGTTGATACAATAGGGATTCCAATAATTCCTATTTCTTTTGTAGAAATTTGCGTGGAATTTGTGGCTTGGTGTCGAAGGCAGGTTCATGTGTTTTTGCTCTGGCGTTCAAAAGGTTAAATGGTCACAAAATCTTTTCTTTAACTTGAAGGGTTTGGGTTCAATTACCAAGTTCTTGCTCACTAAAGTTCTGTTTAGTAGAACTAAGAACAACAGGTGATGATGTAATAAAACAATAATGATTAACAATATAAAATATAAACACACCATCAGTAGGAGCTCCTTCCACATCAGCCCAGACAACACAGACTACAGCCATGAGACCCATAGTGGCACCTGCTACATGGACTACTCCAAGTCTCTGTCCGCGCCAGGCTCCTCCAACTAACGCAGCCCCTACTCCGCTGCAGGCCAGCAGCTGTCAGCTGAGTACTGATGTAAAGCGCTGTGACATTACCAGCAACCAACTTGCTGTCACATCCAGGGTACAGGCTATTATTACCACCCACCATTTTCTGGAAATTATAAACAATATTATACTTAAATACCGTTTCACGAATGTGTCCAAAACAGAGCTACTTTAGTTTTCTAGTGTTTAGGCTTCATAAAATACCTTTTAGTTTTTTTACCAGATCACTATCAACGTTGTGTTGGTGATAATAGAATGTTGGCGACCACTTTCTGCATTATTATTTAAAACTAAATTTTTAATTGACGCTGTAAGTACTAGGATAAATAATAAACAGTAGTGTCAGTAGTAAACACTGGAACCACAACAAAGAAAGATCAACTTACTTGGACAAGCTCTTCAGACCATTACAGAGTAGGGATGGAGTGAATAATATAAACAGTGCTAGGTACGGGACGACGAGCTGCCCAGTCGTGGGAAACTGCCAAGTAGCACTTTGCAGTAAAGTGGTCAATATACATTTTCCACTTAGCAACAATGACAGAACTTGCCCCAAAAGAATGCTACGCCACACCCTCCTGGAAATGGGTTACAAAAATATTATACCTCTGTTTATAAACCAGCAGTACCTAAATAACACATCAAAGACGGAATACTAGCCATCGCCCGAGCTCCGAAAGGTACTCTTCTATTTTATCACTAAAAGTGGGGTCTTCCATTATCTTCTCTAATTCCGATCGAATTTTTAAGTAAATACTGTAATGTTTAGGATATAATCCTCAAGAATAATCAAATTATCCCAATAAATAGCCATAATTTTCGTCGCACGGGCTAAAAGGCAAAACAAAATCTGACAATTGAATTTTTCGTTCTAAAAGTTAAAACTACCCCATAAATATATGTTCACAATCATGACACGATATATATAACGATATATGAGAAAGTAATATTTGAAATCGAAATATTATAAAAAATAACTTTTTGTTCTCAAAGTTAAACACTATTTTTGTTAAATGTTATTTATGTAATTTTCCACGATAAAGAGTGAAACGGATGTACCGATTATTGAACGCAGAAGCTTGTAAAAAAACAATACGTCAAACGTCAAACAAACAAATGTCATTAAAAACGCGCTCTTCGGTGTTTAACGAAATTGTTTGTTTATTTGGTTATTATCTATAAAATATTGCATGAAACTTAATAATTTATCATATAAACTTATTAATCGTCTAACTATATCCGCCATTCAATATGGGAGACGGTAAGTAATTAAAACATCGGTTATAAAATGTTTGTGATTCGATATCGGCCGTGTTCATTAACATTTTCCCTTATTTCCACAGAGGATGTTATTCGTAGAAGACTCTTAATAGACGGAGATGGAACAGGAGACGACAGAAGACTGAACGTGCTGTTAAAAACGTTGATAAAATGGTGTAACAGCACTGATGACAAACCTGAAGAAAGGTTAGAATTTGATAAACAATATGATTGAATTATGAATAATAACACGCTACGCTACGCTAAACTAAATATATCTTATTTCTTAATTTCAGCAAAGCAACACACGACCGAATGCTAGCCCAGTTAGCGCAATGTGAATTTGCAGTAACAAAATCACAACTAGGCTCAGAAATGATGTCAGCCGAGTTACAAAGCTACGAAGCAATGTCGAAAGTTCTGGAGAAGTCAATAGAAGTAGCCAAAAGTCACATAGAAAAGAGTAAAGCTGACCTGGCTCAAGCAAAGACGGTGCGCAAAAATCGCATAGAGTATGATGTGCTGGCAAAGGTTATCAGCGAACAGCCAGACAGGAAGGAGACTTTAGAGCGCCTTGGCACTTTGAAAACAGAACTGGCCAATTTGGAGTCCACAAAACAGCAGTTGGAAAGCCGTTTAGCTTTAAGAAAAAAACAGTTTCATGTCTTGGTTACTTCTATACATCAACTACAAGCATTGCTGGATGAACCTGATGATACAGAGTCTGTGTCTGATGACATTGAAATGAAGGACATTTTGAATGAACCCTAGTGTTAGGTTTTAGTCTAGCTTTACTATCTTGAACGAAATAGATTTATATCTAGAAAAATCCCTGATTTATGCATTATCATCAAAAATTCGCTGCTGCAATAGAATTACTGGCCTCCTTTACATAAACCATTATCTCCTTGCTTTGCAGGCAGTTTGGAGATCTTGGGTTCAGGTTCATCAGTGTTGCTGACCAGTTTGTCAAATGTCATTAGTCAGTACAGTTAGTCATCTATGAAGACTAGGATGTCTCTTATAAAATCCGCCAGAAGAATACAGGTGGTAATAAATGTATTCTATTCTCTCATTACCACACAGTATATGCATACCCAGATTTGTTAATAATGAAATTAAATAAAATTTACCATAATAAAGTTTAATTTTGAAGTTTAAAGTTAAATGATTGAGAGAAACCAGATACTTATTATAATAGGGTAGATGACTACTTTTCATTTCTATGTCCGTCTGCTAGATTATTTTGAAATATTAGACACATATTTTTTATTTTCTTAAAGATATAAATACTTTCGATGATGTAATGTTTTGAAATGTTTCGTGACGTCACTTCTATTACATTTTATATGTAGAAATGATGTTTTAGCTCCCACGCCTAAACTTTGATTTGTTGACAAAATAAAAAAATAGGTGTCTAACATTCTTTAATTATCTGACTCACATCAATTTTTAAATTTTGTACACTGCCATCATCCCTATTGCTCAGTCTCATCATGTCCATGTTGGTCCAAATGTGTTTCTGCATGTCTAGTTGAGTTATTCTTTGTATTAGATTAAGTAAGAAAGATTATTTTCTATTGACTTGTAATAAAATGTATCATCATATTGTGATGGTGTTCTAATAATCATTTTGTTTTACTTTGCATTGGTTCCTAATATTAGTATTACATACATATTACTTTTTTAAATATATTTGATGGGCTGATGTCTATTACAATGAAGTACGATCTGTGATTAACACTAACAGCAGACAAAATACGGTAGTTGACAGGTAGTCAAATTCAATACTTTTATTGAAATGTCGAAAACGATACATTTATATGAATTCTGTATTGGATCGCAACTTATGACGTCATCATATTTCTGTGTCAAATAGCATACCTATTACCTTAAAATTAGCGTGAAAAAACCAAAAGTAGGTAAATCGGCAAATTAATACATGAGAGTATGATTATATTTTTATTTATTGCATTGAAAAGTTGAAACAATTTATTTTAAACCTAGCAAACTAGCCAATTATTTATGTTTTACCTGCCCATTTAGTCCAAATAACATAATTATCTACATACATTGAGTGCACAATAATCTGACTCGACAAGGGTGAAGAGTGTATTTTAGTTTTTAAAAGCGTATGTATATTAAAGTGAAATATATTTATTTATGTACACACATTCAACACAGAGTACAACACATATATAAAAACAGAGTACATATACATATAGTGTGGTACAATATTTACCAAGCAAAACAGCCACAGTTATAGTCATTTCAAGTAGTCATTATAAGAAATACCTATAGTAATGAAATGTCGCGGAGAACCTAACGGTCGCGGAGAACCTAACGGTCGCGGAGAACCTAACGGTCGCGGAGAACCTAACGGTCGCGGAGAACCTAACATGTATGAGGGGGCTCCGGCTCGACGTGCAGGAGAAGGAACGGGATGGTTGTTAGTCAGTAAGAGCCTGACACTCCCTCCCGCCTCACCCAGGCGGGAGCAGTCATTTGATGATTTTCCCCCGTTAAAAAAAAATAGTAATGAAATATGAAATTGATACAATATGTGTTATTCTAAAAGAGTGATTCCAAGAATAACACAGTTTATTTTAGAAGGTGCTAATAGTTAATTCAATACTGTACCCACCCATTAATGTTTTAGTACCCTTTACCTTGAGCCACAAACAAAATGTCTAGTTTTTACACTGTGTACATACAAATGGTATGTTTTATATTTTACTAACTAAGTAATGACTGGCCATGTCGCCTATAGTGACTATCATGGGAATAACCGAGGTCGTATTAAATTTTTTTTTTTAGTGTTGTCCAGCCATATAAGCTTAGTAGTTAAGTATTTATTTATAACTAGCTTTTACCCGCGGCTTCGCTCGCGTCACAAAAGGATAAAAAGTAGCCTATGTGACATATACCAATACACACAGCGACATCTATACCAATACTTTTGTTTTCCCTCGGGAATATAAAATTTTTCCGGGATAAAAAGTAGGTGAAAGCGGAACAAACAAACAAGCTAACTCACTTTCAGATTTATAATATTAGTAAGGATTATTTATTCTTTTCCAAGTTCAAAGCCGTGTTTTGGTTATCCGTAGGTTTGGTAGGTACCAGTACCTATTACAAGCATTTTTTTTAAATCGTTACTAGGTTGGGGCGGGATAGATGAGAAAAGCTCTACTAGTTTCACCACAGAGGGTCGCGGTGATGTCGCGCAGCCGCGACCGCGCAAGCTGCTCATGAGGAAGAGCCCCTCTGTGGCTCGAAACTAGTTGAGCTTTTCTCAGTATATTATATACCCATGATTTTTAGTTAATTTAGTATGTCTCACGTTAGTAATTATAAAAACATTTTTTTTATTAACCTACCTATGTAGATTCGTAAACATGACCGTTCCGCAAACTTAGAAGACTGAATTTACCACGAATTTACTTAAAAAATATATACCTACTTACACTTAAATCTACGACAGTACCAGTAGGTACATTGTCAAAAAACAAAGATGAACCGAAAAAAGTGAGGTTACCGGAGGCCCAATTACCCTCCCCTTCCCCAATCTCCCCAATCCCTGAATCCCTAAGGATCCTCAAACTCCTAGTTCCCAAAAAGCCGGTAACGCACTTGTAACGCCTCTGGTGTTCCAGGTGTCCATGGGCGACGCCGATTACTTACCATCAGGTGATCAGCTTGCTCGTTTACCGGCTTATACCATAAAAACAAATGAACGCTCAAATCTACTTACGTTGAGACTTACATAAAGGCAGAAAACAACATTTTTATCTCGAAATGGGCACTTAAATTACGGCCGTGAAAAAAAGACTAGTACCTAATAACTAGCTCCTTCTCAACTACTCTAGCTCTGGGGCCTTAGTACGAGTTTGATTTACGTTTAAAGTATTCGAAACGAGTACGCGTTCAGAGGCCTTAGTATGAGTTTGATTTACGTTTAAAGTATTCGAAACGAGTACGCGTTCGGCACTCTGATTGGCCGGCGCCAATGAAGCAACCAATCAGAGCGCCGAACGCAAACTCGTTACGATTACTTTAAACGTAAGACAAACTCGTACTAAGGCCTCAGCTCTCTGATTGGCCGGCTCCAATAAACCAACCAATCAGAGCGCCGAACGCGTACTCGTTTCCAATACTTTTACTAAGTTCTTGTACTAAGTTCTGTGGAGTGGTCGTCATGAAGTTGTGGAGGAAGGAGGTGCAGGACAGTCAACGCTAGCCTCCTTTACTTATAAGAGTTTGCCACAATCTACACGCTTGATAACCAGCAGGTTATAAATAATAGTCCAGGTTAATCAGAGAACGTCTCTGTCATATGAGGATGCGTAGTCTCTTGGTTTTGGTCACCTCTTACGACACTGGCGAAAATAGTAAGGTATTTAGTCGTCACACCATACGGCGGTGGCTGCCGTGGCGAGATGTAGATAAGACTATAAGCATGCATAAAAGTTTAGCTACAGGTCGTCGTTTGCGTGTTCACTTGTTTGTGTGCGTGTTGAAGCTAAAATACTTTGATTAACTATACATACCTCCTTCGTGTATCTACCTACCTAAGCGATAGATACGTACCTACCTATCTGTAATTTTACATGCAAAATAAGTTTCTTAATTCTGTTCTTTATAGTCAGTACCTTTCAGTTTTTTATTGGTTATAGGAGAAATGAGTCGATCTAATGTCCTACTTAATCATCAAAATCAGACAATTTGTAACTTCTTTCTTATAGAATATATAGAGACTGCGGTAAACACAACACGGTAGGTACACAAATTCAGATAAGCACCAATAACCAACCCAATATAAACTTTAGTTAATTATGAACGCTATTATCTACGTGTAAATCGGCAAATATACTACTGAAATCTTGAAATGGGCGTTACATTGTAGGTACCTAAATGTAGGTACACTACACCTCTACCTACCCGTTCGTGAATTAAAAGTCACGACGTGATGTAGTTTTTTAACTTCTGTTTGTATTGTGATGTGAGCTCATCTCAACCCACCTCTTTGGGCGAGTTCACTGTTATTGTATACCATCAAGGACAATAAGGTTTTTCTTATCATTAATTCAACAATTTGTTGCGTTGCGTGTCTACCTACTGTCTAGTTTGGAATTCACATATGAATTCCCTAATTTATCCATCAGAATGTACCATCGAAAAGTCAATAAGAATGAATTAATTAATCATCCACCTGCGGAACGTACTATCGGCAAGAAAATAGTATCTGTAATGTAGAAAACATAATTATTGTGGCATATTGTACTTAGTATCTGCAAGATATTTTAAAAGGTCATTTATTTTCGTCGGATCTAATAAAATAATCTTAGATAAGTAGGTACTTTAATTATCATAAGCCATAGTATTCTTTGAACTAACTTTACTTACTAGTACTTAATTAGTGTTTTAATGGTTTTTATTTTTAGGTGATCATCAGCAGGATATTTAGTTATGTAGATTCGTGAAACCGTTCTGCAAACTTAGAAGACTTAATTTACTTAAAAAATACAAACGTAAACTTAACTCTGCGACAGTACCAGTAGGTATATTGTCAAAAAACTAAGTTGAACGCGCAAGTCTACGTTGAGACTTACATAAAGGCAGAACTCGTCACTTCGTTTGAGCGGCCCTGTCGAACGCACGCGGCTGACTCGCACCGCCCGCGGTCCAACTAAACACGTTTCATCAAAGAAAATGCCTTCGTGGTGGGACTATCTCCATTTCAACCGACAGTACCAAAACAAAAGGAACTTAGAGGAAGGCCTGTTTCAAATTGCTTCACAAACTTGTAATATTTTGGTGAAAGTTAACAACACCAACAACATAAATCTGACGAGGAACAATAGAAGTGATGAGTACGGATGTGCCGGGCCCCCTAAAAACAAGAGCTCCATGCAGATCTGCGTGCCCAAATTCAGGAAGAATTCTATCACGTCAGGCTGCAACCCTGGACTGTCGGTAAGTACACTTAAGTACCTAATTACAGTTTGTAAACTTTTGTAACTTGCTTATATTTTAGCAAATGAATACTAAACTAACACTCGTGTTTCGTTAAAATATTCCAACATAGCATTGAAAAGTTTTATTGACAGCAATAAATTTTATTTAAAGTAGGTCATCGGCTAGCTTTACTGCTATTCATAAATGAAGAGTTGCATGGTCATTCGCGTAATAATAGTGAACTGACGTCAGTCAGTGTGACAAAAACATACGCGACAGTAGCAACAACAATTGTAGTGAGGTGTAAAGTTGGTCGGTTGGCGCGCGGCCACTCAAACTTTTTGAACGAATGCATAACTTACGTCCTTGTCTTCAGTGTAAAAGATGCATAGGCGCGCAAGGCATGTGCAGTCCACCCTCATAGTTCATTGGTAATAAACGATATCCAATAACAGTGCTAAATCGCCGGGAGTGCCGCGGAGTGAATTGTGTCGCAGTCACTTCAACATTCGCAAGCTGATTCCGCTTGAGGTGGGCGAACTTGCTAACTAGTGTTGATTATGTTGTGTTTATATTGTTTTTTATGGCGGCGTGCGGCGATGCGACCGTTGCTACTATATCGATTTTATGTGAAGGAAGACATCGGTCGCAGCAGACGCCGTCGGCCCGACATTCGACCTTGTTCCAATTATTCACTTAAAATGAGGTTTTATTTGCGGTATATACTTTATATGGGATATAAGTTGGTTTACAAGACATAAGATACACTATTTCTATTTACTTAAAACTATAATCAACCGATTAAGAAGTAATATCAAATAAAAGTCAAAGTGATAATTATATTTTAACGTTGCTGAAACTTTCGTTGACTTTAATTATTACAAACAGATGTTGATTCATCATGTAATTATTTGTGGAATAATTTATTGACATTAATGGAAATTAATGGAAATGTTTCTTCCGTAATTTCGGTTAAATTGCTACGAGAATTTGCTTTGGTTAATCGACACTGACATATTTATTTTACACACGTGACTTCAATCGCCGTATCTCCAATAGTAAAATATCAATTTACCTAAAGTGTTTCGTGAATTAATATACAATTACGTAATTAGAGCAGTTAGAAAGAAAGAAAGAAAAAATATTTATTTGGCACATTGCATGCACAGATATGTAGACAAAAATGAAAGAAATAATATATAAATAAAAACGAATATAAATAAAAAATAAACATACAAAATTAGCAAAAAATAGATGCATGCCTATGCCGAACGGGACTCCACCGCAGTTAGAGGCAGTTACAAATTATATTGATGCCTAATTATAAATATAAGGAACTATGCACTCTGAACGAGAATAATTTTCTTTACAATTCATTCATTACCAAGATACGGTGAACTATTACCCACTAACAAAAAAACCTATAATCACTATCTATGCAAATCACTCCACCTAAAATATGTTATATGAAACAAAAACAAAAATGTAGGCACATTCTCTTTTCAGTCGTTAGTTAGATTGGCCAACTGATATTTGGAACTAGGCTAGTTCCACATTAGCATAACACGAAGACCTTCAGCTTTGTATCAACAGAAAGGTCAGGAAGTTCACTACGAATTTTAGAGATCCGTTGTTGAATACGAACCAAGCTTTCAAAATTTTCTTAGATTATTGATTCTCATCGAAGATTTTTAAGAAGAATTAACGCAGAAGATTTCTCGTAACTAAAATTACTGTAAATACAAAATGAAAGGATATTACACTATTATTTCAAATCAAAGTATGTAATCTTGATATAACGATAAGGGGTTGACATATACATGTGGATAAAAACCCCTTACCAAAAAAAAGAGAATAAAAAAAAAGATATAACGATAAAAAATAGGAATAGACAGAGAGAACCTAATGTTTACTTGCCGGTTTTGATAAGCTCATAACTATACAATTCTAACGTCAATATGATCTTGATAAAACAACCCCATAAAATATAATGACCCGGAACTTTGAGCATGGTTTTATATCATTTGTTTAACCCTAAAACGCTATAGCATAGAAATTACAAGGAAATTATGTCGTGTTTGCGGCTACGTATTCCGTAGTAGACTACGCCGTAGCGAGCTACGACGTTCGTAGCCGGCGGCTACGAACTACCAATCAATTACCGTTCAATTTCTGAGTAGAACATGAGATTGAGCAATTTAAGAATTTTGATGTTTTATTTATGAAACGTTTTTCTGGAGATAGTTGGGTAACTTTGAGAACCTATTAAATTGTTTAATTTGCCTTTAATTAGTGTTCGCTCAAAGCCTTTTTTTTTTTTTTTTAAGGGGGGAAAATCATCGAATGACTGCCCCCGCCTGGGTGAGGCGGGAGGGAGTGTCAGACTCTTACTGACTAAAAACCACCCCGTTCCTTCTCCTGCACGTCGAGCCGGAGCCCCGGTTACCCGTTAGGTTCTCCGCGACTCCGAATCGGCATCGGCCCTATTGGGCCCCATCTGTGGTGGTCTGATGGCTCTTTGAGGCGCGCGCGGAACGCGACGCGCCGTACGCTCGGGTCTGTTTCTGGTCGGACGGGGAGCCACCCATGCTCGCCGTCCGCAGGCCCGCGCTTACGGTGGCCGGAGATCGTCCCGCGATCCCCGACGCCCGGTGTGTCCTTCGCGATGGCTGGGTTGCGAGGAGGCAGCGCTTCGCTGCCTCACGCGTCCCGCCTCCTCCTTAGCTAGCATGACTGCTTCGCAAAAGGAGGAGACGGCATCCCAATCCCCCTCGCTCCGCATCATGGCCTGCACTAGGCCCGGACGCGAGAGGTCGCCATCGCCGATCACTTCCCTGAGGACACGGCGGTGCTCAGCCCACGAAGGGCATTCTCCCACCGTGTGTTCCACCGTGTCCTCAGGGCGGTCCTCGCAGTGATGACACCCGGGCGTTTCCTCCCGCCCCATCAGACACAGGTACCTCCCGAAACTTCCATGTCCGGTGAGGACCTGCGTCAGGCGGTAGGTGAGGACGCCGTAGCGTCTCTCAAGCCACTCCTCAAAGAGGGGACTTACCGCTGCGATGGCAGCGAGCCCAGTCGCTCTAAGCCTTGGCTGTCGTCGCGGAGAACCTAACGGGTTAACGGGGCTCCGGCTCGACGTGCAGGAGAAGGAACGGGGTGGTTTTTAGTCAGTAAGAGTCTGACACTGGAAGAGGTGGGAGGGACCCACCTCACCCAGACGGGAACAGTCATTCGATGATTTCCCCCCCTTAAAATAAAAAAAAACCTTTGCTGTCACGAATTAAACCACTTTGAGATCGATATTTCTTTGAAATTAATTACTATAAAAATAGTCTTGTCATAAAGGAAAATCCATCCACAAAATGTTAATTGCGTAAAGGTTAATTTCCACTCTAAAACAATATGTAGGTACTTAAAATGACGCTCAATATTGTCACTGGAGAAATCTGTGGTTTTTAACGACCTTCAGTCAACCCCTTTGAACTTTATAGAGGTGTAAAAACCATCGTAAAACTGGCCCTATAGAAATGGTATAGGTATTATAAAAAGTTTATTCGAAATTCGACCTAATGCTCGCTGGAATTACCCGTAATCACGTGTTAAAATTGATTCCACGAACGAAATTGTTCGCAATTATTTTTAACCTTTTTTTTTATTTTAGTCGTGGTTGTGTTATATAGAAACTATAAATAAATGGTTTAGTCGATTAATGTGAAATAGCATGTACACACAGCTACACATCGAGCTTTACATAACCAGTCTAAACTGAACGTTAAATGTGCGGAAAGATGATGCGACGCGACACCAGGATAAACTGGTTTTGTATAGATTGATGTGTGGCCGTTTGTACCTGTTATTCCTGGGAGAGTTTTCTAGCAGTAATGTTTTCTAATAGAGAACTATTTTAATTTAGTTTATAGTCATTCAACTATCTTAATTGCAATAAGTTTCCCGATGAAAAAAAATTAAGACAAGTATCTTACACAATTTTAAGTATAACGGTTATCAGTTGTTGGTTACTGCTCGATAAAGTCCATAACTCACACGAACAAAGGAATGAGCACATTTTGGAAAAAAATCTAATTACTAATGCGCCTTTTTAATTCCTTATCTCTCTTATAACTATGTCTATACTACTCTGTCTACTTAAATCAATGTCTTAACTAATTTCTAACTTAATTGAATGAATGCTACACTAATATTTATACTAGAAATCTAACAAGTTCTGAAGCGATCGCATTTACGTAACAAAATACAAAGTACATTATTCTCCAGCTTCTACATACGTTACATACTTCACACAAGCCCATTTAAATTTTCGTACATACAAAATGATATTACGAACACCCATACGTACGATGCATATGTATTAGTAAAACACAAAACGGCTTTGTACCGGTGAACCACAATTGACATGCTAATATCGCGTGCCGCCGAACAAAATCATTTGCATATCACTTTGTTCAGTATATCCACCTTTTGATTTGAAGGCTTACGAAGGGTTTCATATATCTATCAATTTGTTTTTTTTTATTCAATCGAGTAATTGGATTAACCTGTGCTTAACAATTTTTTTTTCAGATAGCCTGTTCCTTCTTATAATAATCTCGATTATATAAAATTCGATTAAAAGTTAATATTAAATACAAATTAATACTCTAAAAAATATAACTTCGTTTTGTGAATGGGCTTGTAGCTCTTAAAATGCTGGTTTGAATGTATGATGTGACTGCACGGTTGGCGCGGTGGCTGTGCAACTAACTGCCGCGCAACGTGTCGCGGGTTCGATTCCCACACGGAGCAACTTTTTGTGTGATCCACAGATTGTTGTTCCGGGTTTGGGTGTCATATGCATTTCAACTTGTATGTTTGTAAACGCACCTGCGACACAAGAGAAAATTTTAATCTAGCCACGTTTAAAAAAATGCCCTATATTCATAAAACATAGCTAAGATTAGAAAGACTTTCGATTTGAAAAAACCGTACTCAAATATTCAAGTTCGTTTAAGAGCTAA